AGGTAACTATGTTTGGCCCTAGGACAAACCTTGAGAGAGGCACCCCTCGCTCCCACAGCAAAGCCGGTGTCACCGGCAGACCCTCTCGGAGGCATGCCAGAAGTTCCACCTCTCTGAAGTCCCCACTTCTTTTGTGGCGCCCGGGCATTCTGGAATAGCTTTGGTCACAAAGAGAGTAGTGTGGTGAGGTTTAAGGGTGCAGGCTCTCTTAGTGGCCAGAGGACTGGCTTCCTTTCTGCTAGGTGGCTGGTCCCTGTATAGGAGACCAATGAACATTGTGAAGGTCCCAGGGGAGAGCAAGCTGAGCTGTGTGAGGGAGTCTCTGTGGGTGAGCCTGGCCCATGCCAGCCTGGATTTCATGATGGCTGCGCACCAGTGCGCTTGTGTGACCGTGGGCGTGCTTCTGGATAAAGTTGTCTGTGTGAACACAGAGCACGTGACGAGGGCCTTAGCACATGCGTGTGGATGTCTACATCCACAGCCTTCACGGGCCCCTTTGTGTCTGGTGTGGCTGAGCTGAGGCCTGTAGGCCACATTGCTTTCCCCCCCCCCCCTGACTCAGGGCTGGGCAGCCTTGCTTCAGGATTTCCTGGTCAGGCAGAAGTGGTGAATGAAAACGGAACAATTATGTCCTAAGTGGACCCTGAGCATCAGGACTGGGCAGTGCCCTTTGGGGCTGAAGCCAAGAACCCATGCACAAACTCTAAGCCTGGATCGGGTCATCACAGGCAGCCCTAAGAAGCCCTTGTCCCCAAACAAGGGCCGTGGGACACGTCCTAAAACATTTCCTTAGGGTTCTCTGGTTGCACAGGCTGGTGTGTAAACTCAGCACACACACACCCCCACTTAATACAGTGAAGGCAGGAACAGCTCCACATAAGCAAAGAGGAGTTACATACATGCCCAGACCCCTACCCACTCCCCAGCCATACCTTCTCCTTTGTCCCATCCCCCAAAGCCTTAACAAATGAGCCTAAAACTCTGCGAAGAGTGATGGTCCATGTATCCAAATGGAAGTGAGGTGTTCCAAGAGGACTCTACCTTATTGGGGTGGGGGGCGCAGGCCATTTTGGAAGTTCTGACTCACTAAGCGGGGGAACTCAGGAGTGATGCAGAGTCCTAGGCCACGCCCACCTGTTTAGTCAGCATGAGAGCCATAGCCTGGGAATGCTGGGTGAATGTGGGGGCTTCTGGGGAGCAGCCACCCACTGTGATGGAGCTGAGCCTCCCCATACCATCCCTCCTCTCCCCAGTGTGGCCGGTGTGGCCTC